GTTTCTTGCTTTTCCATGTAATAAGTGAAGTCCCCAGGAAAGTGCAGTATCCTGTAACAGACCTTCTTGTGTCGGGGCAGGTGGCCCAATCGGAGTCACTATAACCTCTGATAGTAAGATCAGAAGTGCTTGAAAACCATAAGCCCTGGCCAGGACTCCCTTTTAGGTATCGTAGAACTCTGTGTAAGGCCTGCAAATGTGTAGATGTAGGATTGCTCTGGAACTGTGAAAGCTGCTGAACTGGAAATGCTATATCCGGTCTCGTGGTAGTCAGGTATTGAAGCTGTCCCAACAGATGCCTGTATTCATCACCATCATCTAATGGTATTCCATCTTCAGCAGAAAGGACAGTTTTCATACTCAAGGGGGTTTTGGCTGGTTTGCTGTTCAAGTAACTTGCATTGGCCAGCATCTCTAAACAGAACTTCCTCTGGTTGAGGGAAATTCCTTTCTCACTTCTTTGTATCTCCAGCCCCAAAAAATACTTGAGTTCTCCAAGGTCTTTAACCTTAAATTCCTTGTGTAACCACTGCTTGACTTGTTGGATTAAGTCCATGTTACTGCTTGCCAAAATCATATCATCTACATAAATCACCAAGAACAAGTGATCCTTCCCAGAACTGTAACTGAACACAGAATAATCAGAATAGGATTGTTTAAAACCAAGCTTCAACAGAACATCAGTTAGCCTCACAAACCACTGCCTGCTTGCTTGTTTCAACCCATAAAGGGATTTCTTAAGTTTGCACACTTTTCCTTTGTACTGTGGCAACTGGTTCATTCCTGGAGGCAATTCCATGTAAATCTCTTCATCTAGGAAGCCATTCAAAAACGCATTGCTCACATCCATCTGATGTAGATGCCAATGCTTGGCAGCTGCTAATCCAATTAATAACTTCACAGAATTTTGTTTAGCCACTGGTGAGAAAGTGTCCCAGAAATCAACACCATGAACTTGTGTGTACCCCTTTGCCACCACTCTAGCCTTAAGCCTTTCAATGTCCCCATCTGATCTGAATTTGGTTTTATAAACCCATTTTGATCCTATAGCAGTCTTTCCTGCAGGCAAGTCCACAATTTCCCAAGTTCTGTTTTCCTCCAATGCATCCCATTCTTCTTTCATAGCTTTGTTCCATCTAGGATCAATGGAGGCTTGTGCATAAGTCTGAGGTTCTGGGAAAGTGGTGATGTTTAGAGCAAAGGATTTTTGGCGAGAAGAAAGGGTTTGGTATGAAAGAAACTCTGAAATAGGATATGGCATACTGTGCTCAAGATCCTTATCAGTTGTGGTAAGAAGATTGAGGTGGAAACCCCTCAACCAGCCAGGTTGTCTAGGATTTCTAGGTTCTTTCCTAAGAGCAATAGGCAAAGACCCTGAACTTTCTGTTGAGGACCCAGAAGTGCTGGCTGGTTGGGGTGATGATGATGAAGTTGACTGAGGGGTAAAGGGTGATGGTGGTGGTGAAGGTATGTAGTCTGGATCATTGGTTTCATGGACATTATGATCAGAGGGAAAGATGGGATCAGAATCCTCATCAAGAAAAGTGTACAGGTTGCTCTCTTCAGTTTGTTGAGAGGTCTTCTCAGTTTCTAATTCTTTGCAGGGAAATATCATCTCATGAAACTTGACATCCCTGCTAACAAAAACTTTGTGTTCTTCTATGTCATAAAGTCTAAAACCCTTAATTCCAAAAGGGTATCCCAGAAATACACATTTTCTGGCTCTAGGTGTGAATTTGGTCTTATACTCATCAGTATTGGTTGCATAAGCCAAGCATCCAAAGACCTTGAGGTCACTATAATCTGGTGGGACTTTAAACAGAACTTCAAATGGTGTTTTGTTCTTCAAGATAGGGCTAGGAATCCTATTAATCAAATATGCAGCATGTAAAACAAAGTAGCTCCAGAAACTAACTGGTAAACCACTCTGAAATTTCAATGACCTTGCAACATTCAAGAGATGCTGATGCTTCCTCTCTACACGCCCATTCTGTTGTGCAGTTCTAGCACAACTCATCTCATGTATTATGCCATGAGCTTGGTAAAATTCTGACATACAGAATTCCTGTCCTTGATCTGTTCTTATCACTTTAACTTTCTTATCAAACTGAGTTAGTGCCATGGCACAGAAAGACTGAACAAGATTTCTTGCATCAGACTTATTAGCCATCATGTAGAGCCAAACACATCTACTGCAATCATCTAGAACAGTCAAGAAATATTTGAATCCATCAACAGAAACCACATTCACTGGCCCCCAAATGTCAATATGAACAAGGTCAAAAATAGCATCACTAGTACTGGAGCTTCTACAAAAAGGTAATCTCTTTTGTTTGGACAAATGACAAGTCTCACAATGTTTAGACAAAGGCAAAACTATACTATCAACATCCTTTTGTAATTCCTGTAATCTAGACAATGATGGGTGCCCTAATCTCATATGCCATAAGTCTGAGTCTTGATTGGTGTTCTGTGAAGTGGTGGAAAGAACTTTGGAACTGCTTGACTGACTTCTGGAACTCCCCAGTAAATAAAGACCCTTAGTGACCTGGACTGAACCAATCCTCTGTCGAGATACAAGGTCCTGGATGAAACAAAAATTTGATTTGAAAAGGAGTGAGACTGGTGAACTTTTAGTCAACTGACTTATGGAAATGAGATTATAGGAAAAGGTAGGCACTAACAGGACATTGGTAAGTAAGATACCACATTCTAACTTAACTATCCCAATATGTGTTGCAGGTGTTTGTTCCCCATTAGGTAGTGTTACTGTGATGCCCTGAACAGGTCTACATCTAAGAAAGGAAGCAACTTCACACACTATATGATCACTCGCTCCAGTATCTAGGACCCATAAACCCTTGTCATACACATTTTGGGAGAGAGAGAGAGTAATGCTACCTGACATTGGTGATTTTCCATGGTTTCTCACTGTCACTGAATTAGCCTGACTTGTAGAGGTGTTCCTGTTTGGGGAACTTGGGGCAGATCCAAAGGCTTGATGGATTGAATGCTGGTTGAAAAGATGCTTCAGTTTTCCCAGCTCATCGACTGCAGTGGAGAAACTGGCAAACAATGCTTGTGCATCAGCAACAGATGGGTTCCTTTGGTCTGCTCCAGGGCTAGGAGGAGTAAATTGTGCACCACTTGAGAAACCTTCTGACATTGTATCAACTGCTCCAGCAAAGCCCCTATTCCCAGTACTACCAGATCCAGGGTTTCCTTGCATTTTGTTCTTCTTTTTTAGTTTCCAGCAGTCTTCAATGACATGGTTGTCTTTCTTACAATACCTGCAGAACAAATCACCTCTTCTTTCCTCCTTTTGGGAGTTCTGAGTGTTCTGAGAACTTTGAAAGTTCTGGCCATTCCTGTTTTGATTACCAGATGCTGCCAAGGCAATGGCATCTGTCCCCTTTCCACCTGTTAGACTAGTTCCATTCATTTGCCTCTCAAGTTGCACAACAGATCTATAGACTGTATCAAGATCAGGCAAGGGGTCCAACATAAGCATCTGGGTTCTGGCTTGCTGAAAGTTCTGATTCAAGCCTAACAAGAACCTAATCACTTTAGCATACTCTTGATACTTCATCACAGTATTATATGTTCCAGCCGCACAATCACAAAACGGTATTGGGAGGTATGAATGCAACTCATCCCATGAAACTTTCAGATTTGTAAAATACTGCCTAACAGACAGCGTTCCCTGTTTAGTCAAGTCAACTTTCTCCTGTAAATCAGCTATACGAATCCAGTCACCTTGACCAAACTTAGATTTCAAATATGTCCAAGCATCAGCAGCAGATTTGATGCTTCTAAGAGTAGGCACAATGTCATCAGAAACAGAGTTACGAATCCAGCATACTACTGTTCCATTACACCTTTCCCAGGTGCTAAAAAGGGGATCTTGGGGATCTGGTACCTTAATCGAGCCATCCACGAAGCCAAACTTGTTTTTGGTCTTCAGGGCTACCTCCATCGACTCACTCCACAGCAGGTAGTTGTCGTCTGTGAGTTTGAAGCCGATGACTGGGAGGAAAGAGTTGTCACTGTTGGCGAGGTAGAAAGGGTTGTTGTAAGGATCCTCAAAACGAGCTTGGCTTGGGCCGCTGCCGCTGCCGGGCCTCGCCCCAGGTTGAGTGCTCTCGTCTCCGTCAGTGTTAGTCGCCATTGTGGGTAAGAAGATAGATTATCAGAAAGGGAAAGAAGGGGAGGAAATGCGAAGGGTATTCAAAGCCAACCAGGCTCTGATACCATGTGAATGTTTGAAGATTTAGACAAAGAACCCTTCTCCTGTGAAGAAGATGAAAGGGGAAGGAGCCTGTAGGGTTTGGGGAAAACGGCTCAATGCCTTTTCCATTCAGCCTTAGCTGGTTTATATAGTCTGTACAGATGGAGAGAAGAAAGGTAAAGGAGGAAAAACCTATCTACTGATCTACTGCTAATCCTCTGTACAAACTAACAGACAACTAATCTATACAAATTAACCAATACAAGATGAACACGTGTGGTGACACTGTAGATTAGCCGTTTAATTCAATTGTCACTGAAACGCAGCAGTGGTGTGACGTTTTGCTCAATACTCAGCAGCTGAGTTGGGCTGCTGAGTTGGGTGCTGCTGGGCACATATCTTCACACTGCCCAAAAACCCCTACAGAAAAAGACATTTAACTAGCAGATCCTGGCAGATAGTTCGTTAGATTTGGTCTCGCCAGCCGCCATTAATAAGCTTCGCGTGGAAATTGTGCTCATATACATTTTAGTGTTATTTCAGTTTGATTGCCATAAGATCATCATCTGCGTCAGCAATCTGTGACTGCATTCTGATACAATAATTCAAAAGTGGATTGCAGATGATCTAAGCATTTGGAATTTACTGCATATGATTGGGCCGGCAACAGAAGCATATCCATTTCATCATCCCTTTGTTTCTCTTCTGTCGTTTATGGAGGTGGTGGAGCTGACGTGGGCAGCTGATGGTGATATATTACCAGCATATAGCCACATCAGCAGCCTCGTAGTCTCTTAATTGGAGAATTATGGAAGTAACTGATGATGTGGATTGAACAGGAAGAAGACATCTGGTAGAGTGAAAATGCTGGTTTACACGTTGGCCAAACGGCCCAAAGTTAATAACTTTGAGAGTGGAAATAATGCAAGGCAATACATGACCATTACAAAGTACAAACCATAGTCTCTTTCTGTTCATTCAGACTTGACTCCACCCTTTGCATCTGTTACCTTCATCTGTAAGAAGATCGGAGAACACCTCTGTCGTCGAATGAACACAGCCATAACAGCAGCATTCGCCAAAAGGAAAACCAAGCTCGCCATCCAGAGCTGAAGAAATACGTTCTGGCCTCTGAACTCGAGCAAGTAACCCCACAACAGCCAGTGCAATTGAGCTCCCATCCACAACCCGACACAGCTCAACCCTTCCCATCTCAGCTTCATGTCGCTCCACGGCAAGATTAAAGGCAGCAGGCAAAAGAACCAGACGAAATACTGCGCCGTGATTACCTTGTTGAACGCGACAAAGGCCACCGTCTGCAGGAAGAAGCAGAACGGGAGGTCTTGGGCAAAGCTTGATACGAGAACTAGTTGCACAATCGACTGAGGCAAGAAAGAGATGAGCTTTTCCACCAGGGAAAGCTGGTGGCCATACTGGAGATAGATGTGGTAGAAGTAGATGGAGAAGTTGTGTCTCGGATCTGCACGAGTGAGGTGGTACAACAGTGCTTCATGCAAGAATTCCCATTTGTATAGATGAAAGAAAAGGCCGGTGCATAGGAAGAATGTGCCTCCGGAAACTAGACCGAACAGTATTCGCTCTTTGGAAAACATGGATTTTGCTGCTGTCCATAGGTTGTATCGGGTAGATGCTTCCTCACTGCTTTGAGATGATGGCTTTTGGGTGTTTGATTTCCAGTTCACAAGGAGTGGCTTCTTTCCAAGTTGGACGTAACGTGGATCAAGAACCACAATGATTGGCAGGGCATAGATTATGGGATAGATTCTGAAATGAACTACAAGTCCATACCAAACTGCTGCTTGGATTATTTGACCTGTACAGTGGAAGAACATAATCGAATTTAGATGCAGCAAAACGAACACCAACAAGAATTTCACTGCCTTGTCCTGCACTACCAAGCACTATAACTGAAATGTAGGTTAAACCTAAATGCCGAATCACATATGCTACAAGATATCTAAGACACCATAAGAATCTAGTTAGTAGCTTTGTAACTAGAGAAACAAACTTAAGTCAGGTTTGCTTTATATCAAGCAAGAACATGACGATAACTAGAAGAAACTTCCTTAACTCGGATAATTTACTACAACAAACAGGTGATGAAACATAAAATTTCTCTATTTACAACTACAGGTGAGCAAAAATATTGATGAGATTAAAACAGCCTCAACAGAGTAGAGACACATTGTCAAGAACACAACTCTGATTGGCAAAATGATTATGCAATTCTACTGTGAAGACAGGAATATGGAAGTAGGAAATATACCATTCAATAGACAGATAAGGATCCACAAAATCATGGCACAAACAATGGGCTCACAGTTGCCACGGGTTCCAATGGTGAAGGTAAATGGATTGAGGAGCCATACCATTACTGAGTATAAGCATAGATCCTCAGCCACTTTACGTTGCTTCAAAATTTTGTATATGAAGTAGCCAACTAGAAGATCTGCAGGCAACATTTCAAGATACCCATTCAATAATCGTACCAATTAACAGCAAAGAGAACAAGGTCAATTGAACGCCAGTCAGCTACTCTTCAAGAGGGGAAATCGAGAACTCTTTAAAGATTCCAACTTGAGAACAATCTCTCTAAACCCTAAACATGAAATGTTAGCTGCGATTCAAAACTGGATCAAATTCGGAAACTTTTTTTCACACCTGAAGCAGAGAAGATGAATTTCCCCCATGCGCGGTGCAGAAAAGAGTTGGGAATCAGAAGAAAAGCGAGCAAAGGGGAGTAGCGGTAAGTTGTTCTCTTGTACGGAGAAGACCCAGAAGCCATTAACGAAGCTGCATCGGAGAAGACGAGGTAATCGACGTCGGTATAGCGAACTTCCATGTGGGCGTCCTGCCATTCCCCGTACAGAATCAGAACCAGCCGGAAGACGGCGGAGCCAATTAGAATGCTCCGGAGGTTCATCATAGCTCTCGCTGTCATTTACGATCCTGATAGCAATGGCGCAAACTGGAGATGAATGAAATCAGACCCTAGACTCCGAAGCTCTCGTTTAGATCCAGAGGAGATTGGAATGAAACCAGACGATGACGATGACGAAGTTACTGGGCCTGCAAAATGGATGAGCTTGTAAGTTCTGACTGGGCTATACTTAACAGGCCCATAATGAAAGCCCACTTAGCTGAGATCCACAGCCTTTGCCTAACCCCTCATCCACAATCACCACCACCACCATCCTCCGCCGCAAGGCGCCACCACCACCACCATAATTCTCCACTGCCAAATTCCGCCATAAACCCTAACCCTAACTCCGCTTCCCCTTCCACCCACCGCCAAATGTCCACTCCATCCCCTTCCTCCTCCTCTCCGCTCCACCAACCTTCGTCGACTCCATATTCGCCGGCGCTGCCCAGCGCCGGCAAGAAACCGCAGCCGGTCCCCTGGACCCACCAGCAAACAGTCCACCTGATCCAGGCGTATCAGGAGAAATGGTACGCCTTGAAGCGCGGGCAGCTCAAGGCCGGGCAGTGGGAGGAGGTCGCCGCCGCTGTGGTCTCTCGGTGCGGCCACAACGGCTACCAGCCGGTGAAATCCTCCACGCAGTGCCGCCATAAAATGGACAAGCTCCGGAAGCGTTACAGGGAGGAGAAACGCCGCGCTTCCCTTGGGGGTGTGTGTTCCTGGCCTTACTTTCGGTTGATGGAGGCCTTGGACAGGGGATTGCCGCCATTGCCGATTGGCGATGGGTTTAATGGAGAAGAGGGTTATGATTACGGTGTGGAAGAGGAGGGAGAAGAGGAGGAGGAGGAGGATGAAGAGGAGGAGGAAGAAGAAGAGGAGGAATCTGGGTATAGAAGTAGGTCAAGGAGTATCAATTACATAATTCGGCAGCCGAGTTCTAGTAATGGTTTTGGTGGGAGTGATTCAGGGAGTTTGAAAGAGATGGGGTGGAAGAAGAGAAAGAGAGAAGGAGTGAAGGAAAGGGAAGAGAATGGAAGAGGCGCGGTCGCATTGGCATTGGCAGAGGAAATGAGGGCATTTGCTGGGAAGATGTTGGGGGTGGAGAAGAAGAAGATAGAGATGGTGAAGGAAATGGAAAAGATGAGAATGGAGATGGAGAATAAGCGAATGCATATGTTTTTGGATGCTGAGAAGAAGATTATTGAGAGTATTCAAAATGCTTTTGAGACGCAGGAGAAATGAACGTAAAGGATAAGTCTTTTTGAAAGGTTCAGTCCTCTGCATTCTATTTTGATTCTGCCTTGAAAGTATTTCGTTTCCTAATTGCTTTACCTTTTCACTGTTGTATCACTGTTACATGAATCCAATCATCTAGCTAAATGTGCTGATTTGTATGTATGAGTGATAGGAGCAAAGACCATGGGTGGATTTTGTATTTCGAGTTGCATATGCTTGACTTTTGATGGTACTACTTGCTCTGCATTTCCTTTTATGTCCCTTTTGGATTCTTGGAGATGTTTTCATACTGCTTTTGGGTAGGTCATGACCGACGATGATGAATTTCAGTTTTGTGATAGGATACCTGAACTGCAGCAACTTCTGTAAGTTCCCAGTGTTGTGATTTGTTCATCATTCCTCTTGTCGAAGGGTTAATGCCCTTCCGTAGTTGAATCAGAATCGGAATGAGAATTGCAATTGTTGTTTCGCAAGCATAGCAACCTAACAGGTATAAGCAAGCCACAAAGAGTTGCTATAGACTAAGTTAAGTCATAAGCAGGTCATAGAGCATACAAATGGGAGTCCATTCTAAGTTAATGAAAAGTGTTACAATGAGATGGATATAAATCTCAATCTGTTGATGAAGTAGGCAACAGAAGGTGTGAGCTTTCTTGTTCCTGGATGAATTTCACTGAGAAGATTTTTCTGATAGATTTCAGCTGGAGAATTGAGAGGAGGATAGAGTTCAAATTCATCACCAAAAATTATCATCGGCGATAAGTCAGTAGAAAAGCTGATAGGGTATAAATGTTTACTTTTCTTTAATGCTGCAGTTTGGTAACTGTGAAAGTCTTAAGTGGGTTTTCCATGTAGATAGTCAGGAAAGTTTTGGAAATGCCTTTCTGATATCAAACTGTTTAGTCTTGAAGTAGGAAAATAGTGAGGAAATTATTGAAATGGACATGCCTCTGCTTGCATGATGTGTAGTTCATACTGTTGTGAGAATTACTACAAAATTCTTTGGTCAAGGTCTAAATCCAAGGAATCTCTCCTCTTGCTAGTAATTTGGAGAGTGGCTGCCAAACTATGCTGTGGCAGCTGTTTGTATGTTTCTAATTGTTTCTTCCTTTTAATATTTACCATATTTGCTTTCTTGAATTTCAGGCATTGGAGATTATTTTGGCACATCTGACCAGACGGTTTTGCTGGTGTCACTGACTGTAATACTGGTATGCAAGTCAAAATAGTTCTGTTTAGTTGTGATAGGATCTTTTCTGATTATTTAAAATGTGATCATCATTTCATTAGCAGTAATTTCTGTTCTGCGAAAATAAAAGAAAACGGAACTTCTGTGCGTATTTAAAGTACCTAGTTTTCTACGGAACTTCTGTTTGTATTGTCAGTTTTGGGAACATGAAATTTCATGGAAATGTGGGTTTTGACAGAACATATTTGAAATTTGGCAGGTTTCTGATAGTTCCTGACTGACTGCAATCCGGGCTGATTTTGGAGTCAAAAGCTAAATATTCTTGCAGATTTTGTACTGTACATTGGATTCTTGGTACTATTTGCCTGGAAAATTCTTTGCGAATGGGGACTGGAGAGGGTAAAGCTGAAGAGTATGCGTTGGATTGAAGTAAGGAAGTGCATCTCCAAGAGAGCAATTCGATTTTGCAGTGCGCAGAAAAAGGCATTGAACTGTGGCATTGGCAGTGTATATTTTTGTATTTATCAGTGCAGAAGGCACTGTAAATTTCTCTTCAGAAACGAATCTTGCAGTCTTCCTTCCACTTCCTGCTTCAACTATGCCTTCCCTTTTGCGTTTTGACTTTTGACTCAGTGATGCCACAAATTTATTAGTAAACATAACTAGTTTGCTCCACTGCCTATATCTTGAATTGTATGCTTGATAGTTAGTCTAGGTACCACTGATCTGACCTTGGAAATGGTTCGATTTGGTATTGGACCTGTGATATAGAACCAAAAACGTGTTCAATAAAAGCCGAATGTCGATTTGGTTCACAATTGGAATGATGGTTGGTCAGTACAGAATGAAGTTGCCCGATTGAAAGGAGAGAGTGAGAATTTTTTCGATCGAAGGAACGAAATAGTGAGTATGAAGGACGAAAAAATGAATTTTCAATTGAAAGGAGAGGAAGAAAATATATGAGCATGAAGGGAGAAGGGCAAAAGGAAAAAGAACAAAATTAGCTATAGCATTACCCTGTTTTGTGTTTACGGGCAGACTGGTGACTGGTAATAGAAAGAAACACCGTATGCTTTTGAAGTGAAGAAAAAGAATAGCTGGTTATACTTTCAGAGTTGTGAACGTAGAGAGGATGTAGTGAATGAAAGTACGATTCAAAGATCTGAACAATGCTAGTACATCGTAGCTATCAAAATTTGCCTCATAGTTTTCTGTTTACTGATACATTAATACTCTGGAAGCACCTGGGAAGTCTATGATGCAACGCCAAGCACTATAAAGAATGGCAAAGTCACTAATTATGAACTCTTTCTCGATAGGTTCTTCAACCCACATCCCATACATTTCAGTATAACTGTCTTTGTTGTTGTGTCCATTTTAATATTGAATTCGACGCCCAGAAAGTCTTTGATCTGCCTCAACGTTTCGACTCCATATGGCATCAACTTCCCCACCCGGACCTTGGAAATGTCGGGAGGGCATAGAGCGCAAAGAAGAAACAACAAACCCTGCAGCCAAAGAAGAAACGAAATTATGATAGTAATTCTTAGATTGGTCTTCTGAAAATAATCAAATATTGATCCTAGGGTGGAAATACACGGACCTGGTGCGAAGAGTCTACCACTCCACCTAGCTCGATCTCTTCAAGCAGAGCGGAAGCCATGTCTTCACCAACATCCTGTGGAGGCTTCAACTCTTTCTTCTCGTCTTCCATGTCACCAACATCATCTCCCCGTGCATAAGAAATCGTAGTATCAGCCGAGATGCAGCAGCCAGCATTGGTTTCGGCAACCAAGGAGATTCCATAGCCAGGAGAACTGTCATTTTAGAGTACTCTCATGTCAAATCAACCAGTTTCTGCTAGAAAAACCAGACAAAGAGTGAACCATAAACAAGAAACTCACTTTCCAGCCTGTAAGCCTGCTTTGTGATCGGTGAATATATGAACATCAGGAAGCAGATTATTGAAGATACCACGGGCAGCATGGATCATTTGGATCTCGAATTGAGAAGATACTTTGGCGGAGAAAGTCCACCCTCGAATCCTTTTGACCATTCCCTCATCAATCCAAGTGACAGCCTGTATTGCAAGGAAATGTATATAAAACGAGGAGGTCGAGACTACTAGTAACGTCCCCAATAGATTTAGAGACTCACCGACAGGGCTTGGACAATAGGAACTGATAAAACAACTTCTCCTCCACCCAATGGTGGAACTCCACGACTCTCTATTTTAAGATCCAGTCCTTCAGAAGGAACCCCAAATCGCTTTAATATTGGCAGGGTAGTCGAGCGAAATGTGTCTACACATGGATCCTTCGAGTCATTTGTAATCCCTGGAAACGACCGAATCAGAAAACAAATTTCAACTGAGGCAAAGAAGAAAAATCAATTGCCAGGGATTCTTGTTCTGTTTAAAATACAAACCAAGAAGCTATCATCAATTCATCATATACCGAGCTACACAAAGGCTAGGTAACCCACGACACTGATTTGTGACTCTCAAACACACAATCAGGCCTCTGGATTTCATTCATAAGTCTAGTTATAGCAGGTTGTAGAATGCAACTATGAAGAATGTGCTTAAGAGTAAAATTAGCCGAAAAGCCCGTACCTTTGAGCCTTATCTCAAGCGGCTTCTTGCCGAACAATCCGAGAACAATCAAAGGTTCCAGAAAATATCCAATTGCTCGACTCACACCACAGTCATGAGCAACACGCCTTCCCCCCATAACCACACCAGGCTTGTACTTGAATTTCGTACCTGTAAAACATAAGCTCAGCAAACATACGCATAACCAACATAGTCATCAGAGTAGGAACAGAAAACTGCTAGCAATTTATCATCATTACTAGTCGTCCTCTGATAAAGCTTGAAGCTTTACAAAGTATCGTAAGCTTAGCCTAGAAAGACCCAGAACAACCATAATCCCATTGAAACTCCAAAACCCAGCAACAGTTGGCACGAACACTAGATTCTGTAACTTCGAGTAAGAACTAAGAAGCAAGTTTTACCGGTATCATTGATTTCGACGACGCAATCATCGGTGACTCGGTCAAAGAGGCGGAGAAGAGAGATTTCATGGGGGCGGAGGCCGGGGAATTTGTCGTCGGCGCGAATGTCTTCGACGAGAATAGGTGTGCCGGAGAGCGTCGATAGCAGAAGCCTCTGCCGAAGGTTCTGGGAACCCTTCATTTTCTTGTAGTTTACTTTCCCCATGATCGGAATCGAAAAGTTACTTCGGCAAGAGCCACTTCTGGGTTCAGCAGCTCTCCTTGGAGCCTCTCTGTGGTTGCTGAATCGCAGCTCTGAAGACTGAAGGAAAATCGGCACATTAGGGGTTTTAGGACCCGACCCGAATCCAATACACCGTTTGGCCGCAAGCGGGTACGGGTTAGCTAATAGGCTGCCGGCAGCCGGCGGCCCGATCACACGGCCCATGGTCGAAGGTTAAATGTGTAAACGGTTACCAAAGTTTGTATGATTGACAAATCAGTCACCCAATTTTGATTGTAATTATAATTTGTCATGGTTGAACTACCTCAAGTAATTTGTTCATACTTCATAGCGTACGTTATTATCACATATGATATGAACACTCCTTAAATATGAGGTTAAAATTTGATCCTTGAAATATTGAACTCGATTGTGTGATTAGAGATACCTTAATTAACCAACTCATTTGAAGAAATATACAAAAAGCTAATGCTTCGAGATAAGTGGAAGGAATGTCGATTTTGTTTAGTACTCAAACTATCATAATTTTTAGCACTTATCACAACTAGTCACCCTCATTTTACTTGGGGGATAATGACATGTAGTTTTCTTAATGCTTATCACACAATTATTTCTCGTTGCTCGCAACTTGAGTCGTGCTAATTAATGTAAAAATCACCACCCAACATTTTATTCGCTCATGTTGTTTTCTTTGTCGTCCTTAAAATTTTTTCATGTTTGTTATTTACCGGTTAATAGCAAGTTCTTCTAAATGATTCAATCTTCGATTGTTAAATAAAATGTAAGTACTGAAATTTGATAAATCTAGAAATGTTTGAGGGCCAAATCGTTATTTTGCAGCCTGTTTCTTGCAATGTGCCCCAGTTTATCAATCTCTTTCTCTCTCTACATTCCTTTTCCCAAAACAAAACCCTCTATCTCTCTGTTCTTCTTCCCTCTCGTCACTTCCTCAATCTTTCCCTTCTTCTCCTCAATTCTCTTTTTCTCCTCCAATTCACCCGCTTTTCTCTCAGTCCAATATTTTCCTTCGCCGATCAGCTCGGGACAGCGTATTTTACATACTCACAGTTGTGCTGGATATACTGAGTACAACTGGTGCTAGCTAGAGTTTGGTGGCAGCAGTTTGGGCTGCCGAGTCGCATAAAAAACGAAGCTGCTGAACAATGCTTTCTCTAAGGTTTGCTATTCTCTTCCCCACATTGACCTGTGCTGGTTGCTGTGGAAATTCGATAAATCAATCACCCAATTATCTGGCAATTCGTGCTGGTCAGTTTTTCTCTATGCAATGGGTGAATGTTACGAATACGGACTATTGCCTCATGGGTCTTTTGGATTTCTAAAGTAGATGATTTTACTGCAACTATCTCTCCATTGTTCTTACGTTTCATGTTCAATTCTCTGATTGTTGCCTGAAGTTCTCTGAAGACAATTGGGTTATTGTGGCATTGCAGGGATTTTTGGAGAAGGCATAAGAGGAAGATTCTTGTTTCTGCTGGTGTTGTAGGAACCGGTTATTGCTTGTACAAAGTGTATAATACATACAAAAAGCAGCTCGCTGATCTGGAGAGACATCTTGCTGCTGAGCGAGAGAATGATGAACTCGTTAAGGCCCAGTTACGAGAAAGAACTCTGCTATTTTGTGTCTCTATTTTTGTGGTTGGGAGCTGGAAAAGCTGGTTTCTTTTGTATTATATTTTGACTGGTTTTAGTGTTTTTTGGTTAACAGGATGCAAGCTCACTTCGAGAACATACAGAGGATAGCTGATACTGCAACACTGCCCCATTCTATTAGTTATTTGGATAGTCGGATAGCAGAACTGTTGGACCATTCGTTTATCACGGAGGCCTTACAAAAAGGGAAAGGTCAGACTACTGCTCTGACAACGGCAGAGAAACTTGAGCTATGGGACAAGCTAAAAATCATGAGTATGTGCCTGGAAGATTTTGTTTCTTATGTTTGTTGTGCTTGGCAGATTATGAGTGTTGTGTCTACTTGTTCCATTGTTGGTTAGCACACATGTATATGATGGATGCCTCCTTGTTGGTTCTCCAGGTTTCACAAGGATGGTGACATCACTGTGGGCAGTGACATTACTTAGCTTGTATATTAGAGTTCAAGTCAATATTCTTGGAAGACATTTATATATTGACATAGCACGTGGTCTGGAGAACTCTTTTATGTCGGTAAGACCTGGTACATTTGACTCCTTTTCTCCACTTATATCTTCGTACTGTCTAAGTTGATTCTGTGTTATTTTGTTAGAAAGCACATTCAGACTTAAATTCAATGATAGGGTGACATAGTTTAAAGAAAAAACATCCCAATTTCTCATATAAATTGCCATTAGTTGCCTCTCTTAGCCTGTCTTTTCCTCAAAATTATGTGCCTGTAGTATCTGCATTTTCGCGCTGTGGCCCCATAATTGAACTGAGCACATATATATGTTATTGAAAGGCTAGGCGAGTCAGGTGTTGTCTTTGCTTATATATCTTGTTTGTTCAGCTGACACATGTTGTTTATCAGATATAGTTTCATAGTTCCTTCAGAATGAATGTTCTTACTATAATTGTCATGCATCGAGAGAAGTAAAAATACTGTCCATTGTTGCATACATAATTAGTATTTCTCGAGTGAACATTGTTGCTTGTTAAGTAGTTTTTAAGAAGAAATTATATCCTATGTTAGGGAGTCTAGAAGGGAGAAAAGGTTTGACGAAAGGAAGCATTCAACTCTGGTTAGGGTGAGTAAGTATGAACTTTTGGTAGGACCTCAGAACTCTGATACATGGATAATATTTTGAATTTGGAGTCTCTCTTCATCACAGTCGGATGGTTTGTTAGTATCCCTTGTATCAGGATTGGGATTATGGAATTGAAGTCTTTGTTTGATTTAGGGTCCGTGGCAATTATCCTCCTTGGATTTCTTACATGGTTAATTGGCAGTTCGACAATTAACACAGTTGTGGTATTGAAAGTATGCAATAATCCGGTTTTTCTGAAATGAAATTGCTCATTCATAAATAAAACAGCTTATCTATTTCTCCCAGACTATTTGATTTTTAGCTGCACTTGAACATATGATGTTCTGCATTTTAACGCGAGTCACATGTTTTCCTTTCTCTCCCACTTTTTTGTTTTGCTGTGTGAACTACCTAAATAGTAAGCAAGCAATTAGCAGGAATATCTATACTAAATGTGAATTTGGCTAAGCAGTTCGCTTGCAAGAGGTTTCTGTCTCAGAAATTGAGCCTTCGCGTACTAGGTTTAGACCATATGGCTAGAGCAAGAAATGGGATAAGTTTCCTTCAGAAAACTTTGCATGATTTTAATTTGCGCCGTAGTGTTGAATGTACACTTGTAACTTTAATAGTGAGATAACCTTTCCAAATTGTTTGGAATAGAGCTCACTAGGGTGCTATAGTTTCTTTCTTTAGGAAACTTGCATGGTTTTAACTCACATTGTAACGTTGGATGAGCACTACTGACTTTAATGGTAGCGTAACCATGGTATTCTTCCAAAACGTTTGGAATTGGGTTCACTGGGATGCTGAGGGTCCATCCGGACCTGCCTCCACAAAAAGGAAGACAAATAAAACAGAAGTGGTGGAGACGATTGAAAAAGTGAAACTGTATGTTTTTCGACAAGTGGCTCATGGAATTATCATTGAGGAATAATGAGGAACTGACATTGGTTTCTGGGCTCTTCACAATCGATCTTGCCCCTCTTTTTTAGTGTCATCTAAAGATGCCATACCTGTCATACTCAAGTTCGAACCCATGATACTGTAGAATGTAGTTTAACTGTTAAGGTTATTGTCTTATCGAATTATATAAATTTCTACTTTAGAACCACTTATGTCTGTCCTTTTCCCTTAGCGACAAATGAGGATCAGATTTGTTTTCACTTAGTTCCCCTGGGTTATATTCTTGATTACAGTTCAGGGTATTGGCGCCGACTTTTTACATACTTGAATTGCCTGTGTTATGTTCCTCAAGGGTTTTTTCCTTGCAGGTAAACCGTCTAATGCCTTTATCAAAGTAGTAGTAGTAATCTGTCTTATTCCCTTGTGTAGGAGGATTCTGATCTCATAGACAGAGATGACCAGCAAAATTTTTTAGCTGCCTCCGATTATCTCCCTCATTCTGGCTTGCTTGTTTTGGCTAATGATATCCAAACAGCAGTGACAGAGGTTTTAAAGGGGTAAGGCTCCTCACTTATGCGCAACGTGCTTGTATGACCAAATAATCTGCTTACTTGGGTTTCTAGAACTCTACCTTATATTCCGTTGGATCACATTTTGTCCATTTACTCGGATTTGAAACTTACGGCATAATTGTGAGTGATGCAAGTTCTTAACTCATGAGAATGTTGGTCTTTCATGAAGGTTTTCTCAACTTCTATTTCCATCCATGCAGGAAACAATTGAAGGATTCCTTTGACAAAACAGCACTTCGTGAAACTGTCATGCAGATAACTGACAAATTCATAAGCACGGGGAGTCCCTGCAGATGTGTAGATTACTTAATGCCTGAGGACAGTACGTTGCACAAACAGGCAATGATGGTCTCTAGCGGCGGGGGCATGTTTCCCACTGATCTTACAAAGTTTGACCATCTTATGATGGAGACACGAGAAGTAATACTGAGGTTTGTTTCATCATTTTAGTTGCATAGCAAAGTAACTTTTTTTTATAGCAAAAGCTCAAACAAATACACCCATGATGGTAGACAATAAATCACGGTGCTCTTCTTTGGCAGCCCGGAGTTTGGCAAGGTCGTGGAGGTATCTCTGAAAGAACTGATTGATGCACTGGTGGAAGACTTGGAAACGCAGACCACCGAGGGTACTTTAACATCAGGGCTGCCGCTGGTGAAACTCCTGCCTCGAGTCGCCCAGGTGGGTTCATCGCTGCTCAAGGAGCCAAGCGAGAATCGTTATATCCAGATAATCCAGAAATCCCCAGAGGTTGAGCTTTTCTTCACTCTCTTGTATGCCAATACACCGCCGCAGCCCTAGATAGAGTAGACATGATGGCTTGGCTTGTAACACCATCACACTACAACAAAATTCATTCTGGTTTTTGTTCCAGCATTTGTTCTTCTTCAGGCAGCAGCATGAAATGTAAATGGGTTTGTATTACGGAAGTAGGTAGGTTTTGGGTTTCCAGTATTTGAAGACTACAGAAAATGAATACTTGGAACACAGAAATTCCAAGGTGGAAGGGAAATGGAATTGGTTATGGTTTTCTTTTTAGGGTTCTTGTTTTTTTATAATGGTGATGAAGATTAAATAAAAGCGGCTAAAAGCCAAAGGTGTCCAAGATAAATACAAACCAAGAAGGGAAGCTGGTTCAGAAGCACTGAACAGCAGCATCAAACAACAGCAACAAAAAAGCTAAAAGAAACAGAAAAATGGCTCAAAGGAAAGAGCCCAACAGTACGCTACATCAACAAAAACCAAGACAGGAAGGGGAAAAGGGAGAGCCCACAGAGAGCAGGAAAGAGGCCCCTCGACGCAACACAGGCACCATCAAACGAAACCACCAAAGCCCAGCACCTGCTGCTTCCACGGCACAAATAAAACCAGCAATCAATGAACAAGCCAAAAAACCAAAGGTCCCAGCCACAGCAACACCGATCAAACAAGCAACCTCCATTCGAAGTCTCCAACCCAAGCCAGCCACCCATACGATCTCACACCCTGGTTAAAAAATTCCTAAGCCACCTGATACCATCATCCTTTCCCACCTTGCCATGAACCATAACCCACTCCATCATACATCTAATTGCCATCAGCGCAACCACAGGGGCAGACACCTTTTTGTCTTGGAAGATACGCCTATTCCTCTCAAGCCACACTTGCCAACACACCGCATGTAAAGCACAATAATGAATCCATCCTGCAATGTTCCCCGGCTCATCCTTGCTCCACCTTTGAATCGTTGTTCCAATATCAGTTGATGGCGGGACAAAGAAGTTGCCAGCTCTCATGATCCGACTCCAAACCTCCCTTCCAAACTCGCAGTCCACAAACAAGTGGTTCGCCGTCTCTTCCTTCTTGCAGCAAAGCGCACACCAATTAGCGATAGAGAGTCCCATTCTTTGCAGCCTATCAAGTGTGGAGATTCTCCTGTGGGCAAGGAGCCAAATGAAGAAGCAAATCTTGTTGGGGATGATCTGCCGCCAAACTGAATCAGCAGGGAAGTTAGGTAGCCCAGGGAAGCGATTCTTGATAAGACACCTGTACATGGAACGAACAGAGAACGAGGAGTTTGGTGACGGCGACCAAACCAGCCTACAAGGCCCGCTGGTCACCCTATTAGCCCCACAAGAATTCAATAAGTTCAAAAGAGACACCCTTTCCCTCTCAGCCCCCCCCCCCCTCTAAGAACAAAAGATAAAGGAATATCCCACTCAATACTCTCACCTGTGTGCAGCAGAACGTTAGAAACCCAAGCATCCTGATTAGGCGCGGCGGCAGCAACACGGGGGAAAGTGTCGGCGAGAATCGTCTCCGGGATTCAACAATCGTGCCAAAAAGAGACCCCCATTCCATTTCCCGGGTCAATGTGAGCCATCCTCCAGAATTCATCAAAGCCCTTCGTGATATTGGCCCAAACAGAACTGGCAAATCCACTACTACACTTACCCGTATGCCAAGTCGAGAGAGCATTCGGGTATTTGGCGCTAATCAAATTTCTCCACCACCTTTCCTTCTCGTTAGCGAAGCGCCAGAGCCATTTGCCAAGCATGACACTATTGAAATAATAAGCTTACTTATAATTATTAATTATTCACAATCTTGACATCTTCTCAATAATCTTATTTAGTCATGTAGAGATTTTATTGCTTACAATCATCAATGGAGTTTTAATATGTTTTCCTCACTTTAAAAATGCTCTTGTAGGAGGGTGAATTACAATTTCATAAGTAAAAATAATTTTCTACCCATATAGTGTTCCAAATATCATGCTCTGTCTTTTTCGATTTTTCCTCCCCGATCAATTTTAAATGATTCATGTCTTCTTCATTTCAACTTGGATTTTGAATTCGTTTTAATGGTATCTATAAATGGTATCTATAAATGATACTCCCTTCGTATATTTTTGAAGAATTAATTATTTGTCATTAGTAACCTACTCACACGTAAGTGATTGGTCATGTACTACGATGGTACAACAACCAGTTGCATTTGATCTATAATAATTCTGTTAATTTGGTTAATTGGTTTGATTATGTTGAAGTTCTTATAAAATTTGTTTAAGTGCCTTGATTTTCTCATTGACTCTAGTAACTAAGCTAACAAATTGTCCAAATTTCAGTTATAGAAGAGTGGCACTAGCGCAAATGTCTACGCTACCTCCTGAGTCCTGACATGTGTTATAGTTGCAAACTACATTGTTCAATAACACCAAAACCGAAATGGTTCATTTGACTCAGAACACCAAAAAGGATTTAAATCACTTAATCATGTGAATTTCGTAATAATACGCCAATGTGTTGTGGAATGAAGAGGTTTAGAGAGTAATGAAAAATCAAATTAATCACCTAATTGTTCGTAGAGAATCTAAATAAAATTTTTAAGAGTTATGGACAGAAAGACCACTAATTTTTCTCATACTACATGTTTGAATTTACGTACGTATGATTTAAGTATTAAGTAACAATGATCCATATAATTTGTGACAAATACGCAATATTTAGAACTTCCAAATCACTAAGGGATCGTTTGGATGGGTTAATTGAATGAGTTATTGTGGTCTAAATAACTCATGATGAGTTATTTGGGGCACAATAACCTTTTTTTAAGTGATAATTTTTTTTTCTGTCATATTACCAAGTTAACGTCACTTCTGAAAAAAATATTTAATTATCTCACCACGAGTGATCACACGAAACATATAACTTAAGTTTTCACTAATCAAATTATGTTTTTCGAACCATAAAAAAATTATGTTTTTCGACCAACATGCCTGATCATAATCTAGTAATATCTAAAACTATGAAATACTTACGAATATTTGTGGATCGTGTAGATGAGTTTTTTTTTTATATAATAAGACATTTTGGGTCGATTGCCTTGTTATAGAGAAAACGAGGCAATTCATATTGTCACCCTCCTATGGCAATCCAAATTGCTACAAAATACCCTTTACTAAAATGTGTACATTTCGGTTCAACACATTTCCCTCTACTATTTTTTACATCAAACATGCCCCTGTACTTTAGAAAAATGATCAAACATGCCCTTCTGTTAATATTTTCATCCAAACACAGTCAACCACGTTCGTACCTTGGTTTGAGCGACACAAATGTCTAAAATATCTCTGGTAATTTCACTTTAGAATTTTTGGGTTCTTTTGTAGAGCCTAATAATTTCACTTTAACGAGACCTACAAAAATAAAATGGGGGACAAAATGACATTTTTCCTCTCATTTGCCGATGTCGGGTCGTCTACATCTCGGTTCAACCATGGTTGACGATTTTTTAATGGAAATTTTAACATAAGGGCATGTTTGATAAATTTTTCAAAGTACAAGGGTATATTTGATATAAAAAATAGTAAATGAGCATGTTTGATTAAACTACCTAGTAGAGAGGCATATTATACCTATAAACCCTTAGGGCCCGTTTAGTATAGTTTTGTTGTTGTTGTGGTTGTAGTATGGTTGTGTAACACAAGAGAAACCACAACAACATAAAAATAGAAAACAAAAGCCTTGTTGTTTCTCATATTTGGGCCTTGTTGTGCAACTCTGATTCACAACAAAAAATAAAAACCCAACTAAACACAATTATTTTTCTTGGTTTTCCAAATTTCTTAAAACACAACAGGAAACAAAAACAAGCAACAATACTAAACGGAGCCTTAGAAAAGAAAATTGTGGCAGTGATAGGCTTATAAAAGAAATCAAGTGGTAGATTTGGTATTGGTAATGAAGTTTGGGTACTAATCAAATAAATTTTATCCCCAATTTTGGGCTGAGCTCACAAGTCACAAGTGAGTGACCAAATAAGCAGCGAAATTGAAAACCCTAGCTTGACAATCTGCCGCGCCCAAGCTCCACAGGTTCGACGGACATCAAACATTCAATTCAAGCCTGGCGATCTTTCATCCCAGGACGTGCGAGCTGGAGTGAGATAGTCTAAACAGCCAAGTTATCAGTCCTGTACTCCTGTTCAATCCCGCCGGTGAACTACTACAATGTCGACAGCTCAGGGCAGCCAGAACAATGGAGATATCTTAATGCTGGAGGCCGCTCCAGATGCCTCTCGTCCCTGGTCAAGCGCTTCCAATGCAGAAATTATTGACGCGTTGCCCTATATCGATGACGACTATGGAAATCCTTCCATCAAGACCGAGGTAGACCGCCTGGTGGAGGAAGAAATGCGAAGGAGCTCGAAGAAACCCGCGGACTTCTTGAAGGACTTGCCTCCCCTACCTCGCTTCAGTTTCGAGGTTAGCCTCCGTGAAAGCAATTTCCTTTCCGCCAAGTGCCATTTATTGTCGTTGATTGACGAAAGAAGGGCTATAATTTGTACAATGGCGCGGTAGAAGTGCTCCTGATGGACTTGGATTGGGGTTTCATGTGCTTTAGGGGGTGTTCTGACGCTCTTTAGTTAGGCTAAAAAATCACCTTTTGCTATCGTTGTTTCTCATTCGTGATGGTTGGTTTTCAAGTAATGGGCTAATGGCGTGATTTAGGATCTTGTTATACGGAATACATTATCCCCTACTGTCCAAAAGTGTATGGTGTTCAACAGGATCTACCGTTTGTTCCTTGGTGAGGTGAACTAGATTTTATCTGCAGAATGAGTAATGGCGTGTTTCTCATATTGAAATTTTGATACAGAACTATCCCATGCTTGCCAAAGAACATGACCGTGTGAGAGCAGGGAAGCCTCCAGTTGCTATTGATTTTTCACGATATGCCCATTTGGATCAGCCTTCTGCAAATAAGGTGAATGATGAAACTGCCTGGAAGCAGTCACTTCAGAGAGCACAACGCTTGCTTCAGCATCAAGTCCTTAGGTGTGTGACTGTTTCCATAAATTGCTTTCAGATGATAGATATACAGGGTAAAGTATTTGAGCTAGAAAGCACCTGAATTATCTTCGTAGGATCTATTTTCTTTTTGTCTGTTGGTAATTGTATTTAATTACATTTTCCTGGTCTGTGTTGGAAGTGATTCACTTTGTAAAATCGAGCATTTAATTCTTTGTACTTACTATCGAGTTGGTTTTCAGGCTGGAGAATTTGGACTTGATGTCAAGGTATGGTCCTGATGTATGGGTACAGAACAACCGGCAACTAGAAGGAATGTTAGCGAGGTATACATTGGATATATTCAATACTGTTGTTCTCTTCTTTCCTTTTTCTCTTCATTCTCTTATGTCTCTGTCTTAGATGTGAAGTTCATCCTTTTTCTTGCTTAAGGTTGAATTCCACCTCCTTGAATTCAGGCTTATAGCATTGCATCCATCATTGAAGGCACCCTTTGCATCTTTATGTGCCATTTGCATTGCACTTATATACTCGTTGGTATGATGAAAGAAAGGAAAATTTTATAGCTGTTCTTTTGGGCTGTATTTTTCACATCTGTTGGCTTGTTCTTTTCCCCGTCATAAATCAATAGGTTTCTTTTGTTTCTATTTGTGTTCTTACCTGGGTTGGTTGGGGTGCGCGGTAGAAACCAAAGAAACAGAAGTCCTTTAAATGGAACGCTATAGGTAGCTCAGAGTGACGCTTATGCTGATTATTAACCAAGTAGAGATCTCCGCATATTCTCTCTTCAGGTCTCGTTGTTGGGAATCGAAGTATTGCTGAACTATAATCTTACCCTTTACGTAATCAATATCTCATTTTTACTGTCAATACTGTGTCACTGGTTTCAGGATGCAGAAACTGGCTCAGGAACACAATGAAAAGATTGAAGCAGTAAATCGTGAGAGGAAGTACCACCAGGTGATTTACCAAGACTTCATTACAGCCTCCTGTAAGGCTGTAACTAATTCAGTAGAGTTCTTGAACTTATAAACAGACAAGATGAACTTTTTCCATTAAATGACAGCAAACCACTGCATATGAGCTGAATGCTCTGTCGACACAGTGGAAAGAGCTTACCTTGAAAAATATTGAAATTCAAGCAGCATGTGCTACTGTTCAGAGTCAGATAGACGAGCTGAAGGGAGAAGCTTCCGAGAGGTATATGCCCATATCGATCATTTATTTTCTCCGAAGAGCAAATTAATACTCAGCATATGAGGAGCTAATTATTTTTCTTCTTATATTCAGAGGATGGAACTTGGAAGCTAGCATAGAGAATGGTTCTCAGTTGCATTGAGAAATTATCAGGTAGCTTTTTCCTTTTTTTGCACCTGATGTCTTTCTAATTGTTGTGGCGTGTAAACAATTCCTCCAGAGTATTTTTTTACCACATGTCCATGCCATGCACACCAGTCATGAAGTCCATTTAATAGGAAGTTGTGGGTCGAGCTGTTCTATACGCAATTGAAACGTTACTTCTAATTGATCATGAAATCGTGTTATCAGATGCGAGATGCAACATATCTTTGCTTGTTTGGCTGCAAGTCAATCGCAATGTATCGCGATGTGCTCTTAAACCGTTATGACGCTTCTGGCCTTGTTTAACGCATGTGGACTTTGGTGCAGGATGATAAGTAGGAAGAATGGAGAAGTGGATCTCTACTCTTTTATTAGAAGTGGCATGGTACACGATTAGGGAACTTGCTGGATGCTGTTCACTCAGTCTGTGGTGGTTTCATTCATCTTTTTCAATAGCGTCGCAGCGGCGCGGATCAACATGATATGGAGAGGTCGTGATTTGAAAGTACTGTAAACATGCATTGGGGGGTTATTCCTCCCACTTCGGTTCTCACAGGGTGTAGGAAGAGTGTTAGAATGTTGGCCAGAATAGATTGAGCTTGTAGCCATTTATCCAAGAACTATTGAAACCTCTAATGCCCTATCTATTCTTGTTCCTCCTTAATTTCTTCTCCAAATCTCCCAATTTTCCTTCAGTTTTCAATCTATAACCCTAATTCTCTCCTCCATCTTCCCTCAATTATTTATACTTCTTACATCATAGCAGGGAGTATGGGAATGGGACGACTGAAAGAACTCTGGCCGGCCAAAACTCTCCACCGCATATATTCTGCCAATTTCGAATCTCACGGGATTTCAACGCCGTGCCGGCAGAACAAAGAAAAAGGCCCAACGGTCAATTCCACACATACAAATCACACACGATACGCAATTCTCATTCAGACCTTTCATCAAACACCTCCCCTGCAAGAACAAGCCGAAGAAGAAATTGAAGAGTAACTCATGATGAAAGGGTCGGCCGTGGCATTTTTCTTAGTGGTGCTTCTGGTAATGTCTTGCTGTGGTGTAACAAGCTCCATTCACGATGTAGTATGTCAAGCAGCAAGGGGCAAGCCCGGGCTGTGCAACCACCAGATGCTGAAGCTGCCGAGACCGGAGAAAGCTCAGAGCAACTTGCTTTTCTACTACGGTGGATATTTCTTCGACAATGGCACCAGCATCGGTTGCCACCACGGCAACGCGGACTTGATCTTCGGTCCCAAAATCTACATCCATTTCGACTGCGACGGCGATTCCGACACTTGCAAGAGCTGCTACTGGACCGCCGTCCGGGTCCTGGAAGAATCCTGCCCCGGCAGAGCCGGAGGTAATGTGATGCTCATGACGTGCTGTTTGAGGTACGAGCTTTACGACATCTGCACGCCTCATCGTCATCACCACTGATTCGTAGCGTATTTGCGGATCGTCAACAACTGGTTGCTCGTAACAATTCGAGTTCGTTGAGAGAGGTTTAATAATGATTGAATGATATATATATGTCATTTTACTAACACCTCCCTCAAATGAAAATCACTCATGTAGGCATGAAGTTTGCACTCATAGAATCGCGGACTGGCTCTCGAAGCACAGTCTCGTCTATTCCTACGTTTTGTATGAACTAGAAGCACCGCCACAGGGCGTAATCTCCCTCCTTGAGGACGACATCAATGGAGTTACTTTTCAGAGAGACGTAATCCCATCTGATTCCTCCAGCTCTCACTATCCCCCCCCCCCCTCCCTTGTACCGCTGTCTTCTTCTGTGGCCTTGTGCCTCCCTTGAATGCAAAAAAAAAAAAAACTCATGTAGGCGTGAAGTTTGCACAGATACGGTGTACGGATATCGTGTGATTACCTAAACGGATGAAGGTCGCCAAGATTTAAACATAAGACCTCTCCATTATGTCACGAACTCTTATATTTGCGAAGATAATTCATAAAAAAAATGAAAATTATATTTTCGAGTAATTTTTATCAGTTATCTGCGCAAATCTACTCATATTCAAACACATTGCTTACATTTGCAATTGCCGGCGGGCCTACCACCGTACCGGATACAAGTAAGGAGGCGAACACAATCTCCTCAATCATCACCGCATCAACTAAACTGAATACATACCCTTGAATGGATCATACAATGTCTTCGGTTTCTACCGTCACTAAAAGGTGGCCAATATATGAGAAGTGGCCAATTTGTTACAAGTTTTCACCGAAATATGCAAAGCTAAAATTTTGTGACTTTTATTTTGTACAGGCGGTCGGCTAAGATCAGGTGACTAAGGGGGGTCCCTTAGTCACATGACTAAGTCAATCTCAGCCATTGAGGTTCATTAAAATCTGATGGTTCAAATTAATCTACTTTAATGAGGGGTAAGTTAGTAATTACATAGTTTATTTATTTAAAAATTGAAATAAAAAAAAATAATCACCGCTCAGCCACCTACCACCCGCCGGTCCGCATTCCGCTTTCTCCCCTCCGCCGTCCGTTTCTGTTCCCGACGGTGGTGTTTTTTCCCCCCAAAATACCTTTGGCCCCAAACCCCCAGAGAGAGAGAGAGAGAGGGAGGAGAGAGAGAGGCATATTTATTTCCCAGGCCCTTTATGTATTTCCTCATTGATGCGGATGCGGAGAGAGAGAGAGAGAGAGCTTTTCCGGCGACGGCGGAGCAGTTTTCCGGCGACCAGGAGACGGTGGTGGATGATTTTCCGGCAACAGTATTGAGTTCGTGATGTTTGTAATGTTTATATTACTATTTTGTATACATTGTAATGTTTGTAATGTTTGTCATGTTTGTTTGTCTAGTTTGTATACTTTATGTTATGATTTATACACTTTCTATTCATTGATTTGTATTTGTAACTTTTGTTATTCAAGTTTGTATACTTTGTATTCATTTGTTTGTAATACAAGTTTACCAATCTGTATTGTAAGTAGTGATATTCTGTACGTGTAGTATGCTTTGTACTGTTTGTAATGTTTGTAATGTTTGTTTGCAATGTTTGTAATGTTTGTTCTTTTGTAATGTTTGTAATGTTTGTTGGTTTCTTTTGTATTGTTTGTAATGTTTGTTATTTTTGTCCACATGTTTGTCATTTTTGTCAACCATGTTTGTAATGTTTTTTGCATCACAAATCAATACATATAAAGTATACAAATTATTAGTACTTACAATACAAAGCGAAACATACTAAGAATACAAGCAAAACATACTAAGAATACAAACTGTCAAAGAAAAATATATTAAGAGTACAAACTGTCAAAGAAAAACATACAAACCATACTGTCAAAGAAAAACATACTAAGAGTACAAACTGTCAAAGAAAAACATACTAAGAGTACAAACTGTCAAAGAAAAACATACAAACCATACTGACATTTTGTACAAAAATACTAACAATACAAACTAATGTTACAAAACATACAAACTATACAAATCACTGTTCTTCCTTCAGACGACTCTCTCTTCACCGCTGCCGCCGCCGTCGACTCTCTCTCCACCGCTGCCGCCGCTGATTCAATCTACTGCCATCGCAACCTCTCTCTCTCTCTCTCCATCGTCGCGCCGCCTCTCTCTCCTCCATTGTCGCCGGCGCTCTCTCTCCGCCATTGCCTCTCTCTCCTCTGTTTTCCGATGATGAAGACCAGATCTGTTTTTCTCTCTCTTCAACGCCTTCGCCTCCGTCGCGATCTCCTTTCTCTCTTTCCATCGTCGCCGGCGCCGTCGCTGTCGCCGTCGTGGTCGAGGTCTCCTTTCTCTCTCTCCATCGTCGCCGCCGGTCGCCTCTTTTCCATCGTCGCCGCCGGTCGCCTCTTTCCATCGTCGCCTTCGTCTTTCCATCTCTCCCGTGGCTGCCAGCGCAGAAGAGAAGGTGGAGAAAAAAAAATTATTGAATTTTTTCTAATTCCAGGATTGCCTTTCTTATTAAAAAAAATAGTCCTTCCATTATCTACACCATTAGATTGATCTAAAGGTTGAGGGGGGCTTAGCCAAGTGACTAAGCACCCCCCCTTAGTCACCAGATCCGCTCTCCAGGCGGTCTGCTAATACTTGGGCCCAATTCCTTCAAAAAAAACTTGGGCCCAATTGCAATTCCCTTTACCAGAGGCCCGTGGAAGAAAAAATGCGGTTATTTTAAGCCCACACCATGAAACCAACGGCGATCACTCGGTTCTTCATAGCTGCCATGCCGCCAATCACCTTTTCAGATATGAAATGTTAGGCAGGGATGGAAGCTTTCTGGAGCGAGGAATCAACGATGGGTTTGCAAATCGGAGGAGAAATAGAGAAGGTGGACGGCAACCAACTGAGCTACAACGAGTTCGCGGAGAAATATTTGGCCAAGAACTTTCCGGTGGTGCTGACTGGTCTGATGGACGATTGGAGAGCTTGCAAAAACTGGGTCACCGAAGATGGCCGTCCCAACCTCGAATTCTTCTCCACCCACTTCGCCGAATCAACAGTTCAGGTGTTTGTTTTTTAGCTTTTGCTGACTTCCCTCTCTTCTAGTTCCTACACTATGGCTTCGTTTCTTAATTCCCTTTTGTCGTTTTTGCTGGGCGTTTTGGGTTTTTTAGGTTGCGGATTGCGGCACTAGAGAATTTACCGATCAGAAGAGAATTGAAATGACTGTGGCGCAGTTCATTGACCAATGGGTTAACCAGAATGGTGCTGGTGGGTCGAGCACCGTGGGTTCAGGCCAGTCTGTGTTGTACTTGAAGGACTGGCATTTCGTTAAGGTAATGCCGCTTCATTTGAATAGTTTTCCTGTGATATGGTGTTTTCATTTATGGTCTCTGGTGGTCTTTTGATTCTCAGGAGCACCCAGATTATGTACCATACAAAACGCCGCTGTTCTTTTGTGACGATTGGCTCAACCTGTATCTCGACCACTATCGTATGCATAACGATCCTGATACGTATCGAGAGAGCAATGAAATAAGTTGCTCCGACTATCGTTTCGTTTACATGGGAGCCAAAGGTCTGATGTTAGGCGTATTGTGTTTTGTGAGTTCTCTTTTCCTAGCAGATGATACCTGATACCATTCTTGAAATGTCTGATCTGTAACTGAGAAAACCATCTATAACTAGCAATTTGCGGTTGCAGGATCTTGGACTCCTTTCCATGCCGATGTTTTCAGGTCATACAGTTGGTCAGCAAATGTTTGTGGAAGGAAGAAATGGTTTTTCCTCTCCCCATCGCAAAGTCATCTCGCATTTGACAGGCATGTGAAGTACTTTCTGTGGATTGCAGTAGTTTGAGTTGCTCTAGGAAGCATGCTTGTTGCATATTCTGCCTTCCTGAACTCTCAGTACTAGTTTGCTTTGTGTAGTCATGACAGTCAATCGAGTTTCTGAGTGTTCTTTTATGCATTCAACCCAGGAACTTGAAGAACACTGTATATAACATATTGGATGAAGTTGATGAAGAAAAATATCCTGAATTTAAGAAGGTAAATCGCTTGATTATTTTTTATTTATCATTTTTTGTTGGTTCGCCAATTTCCTTGTGCAGCCTTCCTTTCATGGCTGTATGTTTTTTGTTTACGATTGAAAAGTTAATGGCTGTGTTCCTGTCATGTCTCTAGGGTGTTTGGGTGGCATGTACACAAGAACAAGATGAGATCATCTTTGTGCCTAGTGGATGGTATCATCAAGTTCACAACCTGGTAACAACTAATTGCACACCAGCTTTCTGTTTAGAGCATCTGCAAAATGCTCAGATAAAATAATAGCTACCTTGTGTGGTTTGTCAAATGACGGTAGCTAGTTTGTTTCCGTGTTCATATACGAGTAGGTCCTTCTCCTTTGTAACTTGTATTTCTAATCTTTCAGGAAGATACAATATCAATAAACCATAATTGGTTCAATGGACATAATCTTTCTTGGGTGGTAAGTGTAACACAACAATACAGCCGAGTGGCTTTATCATTACATGACAGCAAAATACTACGTTGCAAAACACTTCTAAGTTCTAATATGTGCTCTGTAAATCTCAGTTTGATCTTCTTTTAAGAGACTACAAAGAGGCACAAGAGTACATTGAAGACATTCGGGATATCTCTGATGACTTCGAAGGTCTCTGCCAGCGAAACCTTGCTGCTAACACAGGTACACCCAACTCTAAGAACCTACTGAGTGATTCCTTGAAGAAGAATCTATGAAGTCAGATGCTCGTCTCTAAGTCAATTTAGTCTTGCAAAAGTCAATTCATTTACTCTTTTCCTTGCAGGCATGAATTTTGTTGACTTCTCAAATTTCCTGTTGCGGCTGTTCTTGGCCAACCTGGCCCAAGTGTTCCATCAATACACAGACTCTAAAACATCATCCGTCTCGAGTTCATCCCAACTGACTCAACATTTCACCTTCAATCTGTCCGCCATTCGGAGGATTGTGGTGAAAGTGGAGGAATCCATGGATGGTCTTGCAGGATATCCAGGATTTTCAATTAATTTGAAGGACACCTTGGAAGATCCAGAATTTCTCAAGCTGTGCATCGACGTGGGCAAGACATATGGGATGATACATGATCAACCAAGTCGTAGTTCTTACGAACACGAAGCTTTCATTGATGAAATTCTGGACTATGGTTCTCATATAGTTAGTACCAAAGATTTTGTCAAATTCATAGACTTTTTCTGCCACAAGTTTGGGTTGATAGTTCAGAAGGCTGAGTTTTAACTCAACTTCATTCTGTCAGAAAGTTGGTATTTTTGTTAATGAAACCAAACAGCAGGAACCTTCTGCCAATCAAACAGGGGGCCGGGGATTCAGAAAGCTGAAAATAAGCTTTTAAGCTGAGTTTAATGTACACCATTAATTTTGAAATATTTCTGTAAATGGTTAATAAAGATATTTTACTTTATAACATAAAATATGTGCTTCGCCTTTTATTTCAGAATCAATCCAGACAGAATTTAGAAAAGTATCCAACCCATATTCTATCTCTCTCCCAATATCGTCTTCTTCTCTAGCCTAGGCCGCTGGCCAGCTCTCTATTTTCTACCCTAATTCTTCTCCAATAACATACCTAGAAGAACAAACAAATAAGGCCTACCTTCCCTAACTCTGTAATAAGTGCATTCATCCAACCTTTACAAAGAGGCCAAGGTTTCCTCGTAAACGAAAACCCCCGAAGGAAACAAACACCTCGACAGAACAACTTCAGTGGCCTTACTAACAGGATCAAACAACAACAGATCATTACCGTAAACTAGATCCGGAACAAGCAAGACGAGTCGATCCTGATCAACCCCCCAGTATCCAACTACGAACATATCATCGGGAACAAATGGGCCGATTGTCGACCATCTCACCCAGCACCAGTCTTCATCCAGCAACCACACATCGTATCCACTACTCCACTGGTTAATGAACAAAGCAAGGGAACCCTTGTACATGGCGAGCTGCTTGACTGGAGCCGAGAGGTACCCGTCAATGGAGACATGAACGGGGTCCTCTATCACAACGAAAGCTTCGTTCCTGAGATCGAACCCCAATGCTGCAATAGGAGATGCACATAACCAGAAGATGAACCCATTCCAGTACCTGTAACACTCCACGAAGCGAACAATCTCAACTTGATGCTTGAAATCTTCTAGCACCCTCCAAGTATCAGTTTCCAGTGAGTACACCATCACCTGTGAGGGACACTCCGGGGAGGAGTAGCCGGCTGGGATCAGCGTGCGGCCAGGGTAACGATGGGGACTCGGGCTGAAGTGACGAATCAGAACGATCTTGACATCACCTTTATCCATGCCAAACCCATAGCTATGGAGGGAGAATTTTCCTTCCCTGCTGGGGCAGATTGGAGGCGGCTCTGCAACTTCCCTAAATTGCCCAGTTGCTGGATTCCATAAGGTAAGTGCAGGATCATAGCTATCCTGAGGATTCCCCAACAAGAATATGCCATTGCAGGGTCCGGAGATTACCTGCATTTGGACTTCCATATACCGGACTTTCTTCACATCGCCATTACTAGGAGACACCTGGATGACCTTTTTGTTACCCAGACCCTGTTGATCCTCGTAGACTATCAGGGTCTTGAAGGCGTCGCGAGCCGAGGAGCTTTTGTTGGTGTAGTTGGTCAAGTGCATGGAAGCCAGTATGGGGCTTTTGATGATGGCGTTCCAATTTCTGCAAACGGACTTCAATTGGAATAGGGTTTTCACTGGTAGCCATGAGAAAATCTCCATGAGAATATCTTCCTGCAGCAACCAAGATCCCATTTTTCTCAAACACCAAAATTAACTCCAAATCTAACCCTAGAGAAAGAAGAAAAGAAAAGAAAAAAAAAAAACCCAACAGTTGGGATCGATTAGGACGAAAATGAGAGAGGCGATTTCTGTTACCTCCAGCAAGTGGCGCCTTGGTTTCCCTTCCATCTCCTATTTACCACCAAAATTCCACACTGATTCAATTCGGGCAACGAGAAACCCTAAACGATTCATCGGCAAAGTTAAAGGGGGAAAACAGAATTCGTTCGATTCGGGGGTACCTACCTCGACTTCGAGCTGGTTATCGCGGCAAGCGAGCATGTTCCGGAGAATCCCACGAATCGACACCATTGAATTGTTGCCGCCGATTGCCGGCTCCGGCTGACCGCTAATCAGAGTGTGGAGTAGTGGAGAAGATATCAAACACTTCCAGAGGCGGAGTTGAAGCCGTTAGGATACTCACGAATATCGCGGGAACGGTTGTCGGCTCGGCTGGCGAGGATTTTCATTTTCATTTTTTATTCTGGTAGCAGTTTTTGGTGGGCCTTATTCTTGTTTGAAGCGTCAATCCAGTTGAGCCCGGCCCAATAGAGCATTCTCTAACTCGATCCAATTATCAGTTTCCGCGGGCAACGATGGCTTTGGCAATCGGCGGCGGGGCAGAGAAGGTGAACGGCGGCAACCGACTGAGCGTTCGTCGACAAATATTTGGTCAGAACCGTCGGTGGTGTTGACTGGACAATTGGAGAGCTTCCAAAGATTGGGTCACCTTAACCTCAAATTCTTCTCCACCCACTCCCCCAAATGAGCAGCCGTGCAACTTTGAAGGTCTCTGCTGCCAGCACAACCTTGCAGCTCACACAGGTAAACCCAACTCTTGGATCCTACTGACTGAGTTTTTGAAGAAGAATCTATGAAGTCATCTACTTTTCCTCCCGAGTCAATTTAGTCGTCCAGAATATATGAAGTAGGTCTATTTACTCCTGGCTCTATGTTTCATTCAGCCTTCTGGAGTCCATGGCATCATGTTCTTGTCCTTTATGTTAGTTCATAATTTCGGATCTTCTCCATATGTATAGAGGGTCAATTTCATAATTGGAGCTGTGCTTAGATGTGGGTAAGACATACGTGACGATACACGATTAACGAACTCGTGGTTCTGATGAACACAAAGCTTACATTAATGAAATTCTGGACTATGGTTCTCTTATATTTGTTACCAACGTTTTTTTTTTTTCTTTTCAAATTCATAGACTTTGGTCTCTGAAAAGTGGTTTATAGTTCTCAAGGCTTGAGTTTAACAGAGCTTCATTTTATCAGGAAGCTGGTCTGTTTATTAATGGAACCAAACAGCAGAAAGCTTGATTTCATCATATTCTTTGCATCTACTAGTTAGAATAAGCCTCAACGCTATTCGTTATTTCTGCTTGTTCGAACTACTTCTCTCGATTCAAATTCGATTGGGATTTCGGTCGAAAAAGCCAACCCCCAAAAGGAGGAACATCTGAACATGATGAAACTGGTTCAGCTTTTTCTTTGCATCTACGCGTTGCTTTGCTTGCAATAGTCCCACAAAGTTGGTTCCTTTTTTCCTTTTTTCCACTCTTCAGGCCATCTTTTCGTGCCTCCTTTTCTCAGTTGAATTGGCCTTTTAAGACTCCCTCTCCTCTCAAATGTACTGCACAAAGAATGGGTCATTAGCTGATTGCCAGTGGAACTTGGTGATGACCATCTCCCACTTCCAGTCAGGGTTTTGGTAGCAGGACATGACCAATGTACCATACCAAAAAGTAACCTAAAACAAATTTGTCAAAAAAAGGACTGTAATTGCAATTCTCCGAGTGACTATGGTTCAGAAGGTGTGATTAAACTTACGTCTAGACACACTTATCCGCTAGACAACACCGAAACGCTTCGTTCAGGAGCATCGCAACGAGTTAGATATCGAGAGCACATCAATGCAGTAAAGCAACACTTAGACATAATTAAATGGAGCTAGATAATTAATATCAAATGGGGAAACCAACATCGTATACAAGCTCAATCTTCTATTTTAATCTTTTCAATAGTTCAATAACTTATGACAAAGTAAGCGTTAAGCAAAAATCGAACGTCCGCGCCTTACTGTTTTATTGAATGTTGATAGTTAATATATAAAATAAAAATAGTTGCATGTTGGGAAAAGGACAAAAGCTTTGTTGGATAATGAGGGTTGGTTGGCTTGGCTGGAAGCCTGAAGACATATTGGGGGGTTTGACTCTCTTGGAAGCAATATTCTTCTCCCAATCTTGAATTCAGCATTATAAAATGGCAACAAACCAAGCAACTGAGATTCTCCATTTGTGGGGTTCTCAACTGGGATCCTAATTAAGATACACACAACAGAGAAGGTTCAGTGGCCAACCCTAATTTTCAAACCCACCCTCTCTTAAACTATCCCTTCCCACATGCTGAGTCTCAATTTCCCATAACAAAATAATAATAAGGGTTCCCGAGATTAGGCATTTTCATGCTCCAAATGTTATCGACACATCTTTTTATCAAGGATTGCGAAACCCTATCCGTGGTTGTATCTGAAAAGTCAGCAGTAAAAATTTTTATCTTGAAACCATAGTTTAACTAGGATTATACCATTTCATGCCGCTAAAACCGCCTACGATTTTAGGTTTCGATAGGAGAATTTCCAGTTGGATCGCTGGTATGTTACGGTTTCACATACACTGTTTTTTTTTTATTAGGGGTAGTAGTTAAATCGTGTCTTAGTAATTATCCAAACAAGGGCTTATAACAATTTGATTTTGTTATAATCATAGTGTCAACGGTTGGATGTAGAATAACCGTTCAAAAGGTTTCGGTACCTCGGTGTCATCTGTGATGAAATTATCAGCAAGAACATTGGCTTCTGTGAACTTTGTAAGAAAGTTGATTGATTAGCTTGAGTAGAGAGTGATTGCTTCTAAACATTCACGGTGGATAAATAAGAAATTCTCGAACATATTTGATTTTGTTTCGGATTTCATAAACTCTAACTCAACATCAACAACTCTGATTTTATTTTCTCACCTATCCATAAAATTTTATTTAGTCTCGATAAGTAAGTACGGAATAAATTGGATGGATCAAATGGTAGATTTAATTCACCCATACTCAAAACTCAAAAGTGAGAAAGACACCAATCGATTCCATTCACATCATGTACTCTCAAAATTATGCACAATACCAGCCTCTTACACATAGGAAGAAAATGGAGGATCCCCTTAAGATAGTAAATAAAAAAAGCCCAAGCCAACCCTAATTATTAGAAAGTAAAAAAATAAAAAAAAATTGATACCACAAATAAATAACAAAAAAAGAAAAGCCACTTTTTTTTTATCAACTAAGGGCATCGGATATTCCTTCCTGGACCTCCATAGTAAAAATAAGTCCCCCAAACGCCATTCCTCCCCTGCCTTATATCATAACAATTAGAATGATCAGCCAGCAAATGCAGGTTATTCAGAGGCAGCAAATTGTTGTCCCAATCCACCGTCTGCAAGTTCCTGAAATACGACGACTTCCCAAACCCTTCGTCGGCGAAATGCCCGCTCCCCATCTGCGTGTAAGTGTGGCCTCCGCCGGTCGACCTCGAGTTCACGATCTCGCCGCCGAACTGGACCATGCTCGCGTGGCTCCTCAGGTGACTGAACAAGAAATCCGGCCAGTATCCCACCAGGAGACCCGACCCGAACTCCAGCCACCAGTGCCCGTGCTTCGGATCCTGGCATTTAATTCGAGTTTCGGTCCGAGTTAGTAAAATACGGTACGAGTAAGTTGCGCGTATTAAGGGGGGTTAAGCGGTATGTTTGTGTGTATGATGTACCTTCCAGACCATTAGGCCGATATCGAACTGTCTTCCCCTGTAGGACGACCGGGGAGATATTGCAGCTCCAATGGCGATCTTGTTGTTGGTCTGGACGAACCCGGAACAGAGCAAGTTGTAGCATCCTGTTGCCTGATACGCATCCGTCTGTCGATTCGATTCGCGCCGCGGTTAATTGCAGTGTTTAATTTTTCATTAACAAGATAACAGATCTAAACAAGTCTACACTCACAGTCCAATAAGTGAAGAATCTTGGGTAGCTGTCTCCATACAACTCAGGGCTCACCTGCAAAACCCACCAAAACAGAGTAGTTTACAAACGCACAAAGTGAGCTTCTTTTTCTTTTCCCCATCAATAATAAAGCAAATACAAATGAAACACGATTTGGGGATATTGGGTCGTATGAACTTGCCTGCCAACCAGCTTCTATGGTGTTGAGATCGTTCTCAAAAGAGCCAGAGATGACCCAAATTTGCGACAAGCTGAACTCGTAAGGATCCGTGACCTTCGGTGCCCACACGTTGATGTTCGCCTTTGCTCCGTAGTATTGATCTCCGTTCACAAACACCACAGCATGCTGGAGCAGTTGTGGAGTAGTTAGTGCCGCCATTAAAACTAAAACCCAGAAACAAAAAACAGAGAAAAAAGATTGCATCTTTCGTTGCTGAAATGATGAAGCGATTGCATTGCAGCAAAGAGCAAACCTCATGGCCGTTTCCGGAGGAATCCCTCCTGAGATGTCTGATGGGTTTCTTCCCAAATCTCCTGAGCTTATTCGCTCTGAGAACGTCTTTCTCGGTGGTTCTTCGGATTGGAACAGTGCCTTCAGGGCAGGATTCCCCTGAATCGTGCCATTGCTGGAAGCTCTCTGCTATTTCCTCTGTTTCTGATGTCTCGTTGCCCTTTGGCCTCTCTGGTGGATCCTGGAGATGGAGATAAATAAATAAACAAGCTTTGTTCAAGAAACAGGGGAGGATAAGAAGAATCTATGAATTGACGAACCAATGGTTTGTGTCCTTTGAGCAGGGGATGATCGAATGCTGGTTGAAGATGCGATAAGACGCAGTCGAACACATCACCGTCGGGGCTCTGCATCAAAAACCCAACCTCAAATCAAGTAAAATGAAGGAAAGGAAAAAGGGGGAAGAATGGAAGAGGAAAGGGGAAAGGGAAAAGAACCTGAATTGTCTTGACAGCAGGCTTGTTGATCTTCTTGAGATAATCATTGACCCTCTTGAGCTTGAGCAACTCTTTCCTTGGCATGAAAGTCTGGCTGCTGTTGGCAGAGGAATCGGACAAGACAGGGGATATGGAGAAACAGAGGGATACAAGGAGAAAGGCAACAAAAATGTGGGGTAGAGATACAGAAAGAGTAAGATTAGGAGGAGAAACGGCCATTTTTGAAGAATAAGAATGTGGTTGTTTGTGTATTGTTTGTATCGCAGAGGCTAATGTAGTAGGTTGGTGTAGAGGAATGGCGCTGTCCTGTTGTGAGATCAGCAGAGGAAGACGAAGAAGAAGGTGGTGGGTTTTCCGTTGTCTTCTTCTCCATGGAAATATTGAGCCATCTTCTTCTGCTGCTTCTGCTGCTTCTGTTTCTTCATCTCTCTTCTTCATGTCAATCCAAAATTGGAGCACACTCTCACCACCATTCAAGGAAAGACAAAACTAAATCTGCAACTTCAAGGCTTCAATTACCCACCTCGAATAAGAAACTATAGAAGCAACCAACCAACCCAACCAGCCTGTTGTTTTTTTTTCTTCTTCTTCTGGGGTTTTGTTTTTGTTTATTTCTTTGTTCAGCAGTTGGCTGTTCTACTCAAAACACTCTGTTTCTTGTAAAATACTCTGGGTTTTTGTGTAACAGAGATTCTGGTGGTCTCTCTCATGGGTTTTGAAATCTGACAGAGAGAGCACACACACAAATGCACAAAAGAAAAAGGTGGGGGGAGATGGGGGAGCATTAACTGGAGAGGAGCATATTAAAATAGGACCCAGATGGGCAGAGCTGTACCCTTTCTTTTCTTTTTTGTTTGCTGTGGTGGTCAGTTTGGAGAGAAGAAAAAACAGAGTAATTTCCTCTGTTTTTCTATGGGTAAATGATACATTTGGTCACTGAGATTATTAAATTGTGTCATGTTTAGTCACTAGAAAAAATTAATATCAATTTTGGTCACTCGAATTACCGAAACTGGTCAAATTTAGTCACTCTCCCGTCAGTTTCCGTCCAACTCCATTAATGTAGTTGGACGGAAACTTTTGGGAGAGTGACTAAATGTGACATGTTTCAGTAATCCGAGTGACTAAATGTGACATTTTTCAATAATTCGAGTGACCGGAGTTGGGCAGAGGCTACAGAAGAGTGACCAAATGTGACCTGTTTCAGTAATTCGAGTGACCAAAATTGATATTAAATTTTTCTAGTGACTAAATATGACACGATTTAGTAATCTCGATGACCAAATGTGTCATTTACCCGTTTTTCTATTGGAGTTGGGTTTCTTTTTCAAGGTTAAGGTTTGGTTTAAACTTGAACAATGACACTAGAGAGTGGGAGTTATGGATAATTGATTTTTATATGATATTATAGCGTTATTTGATTGAGAGATCTTTTATTCAAATTTCGATTATTGCGTTTGTTAAATATATGGTATTTAGATCTGTGCAAACTTCAATCTTTGGTAGTTTTCGTATTAGGATGAAGGTTACTACATGTCTACATTAGTGTGATATTCCAAATATATCAGTCTGCTATATTCTCTAGGGGTATATGAAGAAGGTGATGAAAGAAAGGGAATCACACATCATCATATTTGCTTTCTTGTAAGTATACAGATAGGTGGGTAGCAATATAATTTTCTTTGTCCTCTTCTTTCTCTTTTCATTTTTAGGGGTTGAACTTGGCAAATGATTTTCAATTTTGTCAGGAAACCAAAAAGGAGTCAAACTTGTCTTGTGGGTTTCTGCACAAAATTCTATTCCTGTCTCTCTTCACAGTTTTCACTTCTGTAAGGATCTTGTTTGATGACTATATACCATTAAGGAAATCTCTTGAGTTTTTCACCAACAGTAAAAAATATAAAGAGAAATCATGGCTTGAGCCTTGAGGTCCAAGACATCCATGAGATGGAAACATGGAATGGTAACATCATATGACATTACAGGGTTGCGAAGTTACAACTTGAAAACAAAGAATTTCGAGCTACTTTAGACAGAGTTATCCGGGATATCGTTGATGTCCGTCCTACTAACGAGAATGCTACACCATGTTCGTTTTAACAAGATGAATGTTGTGATTCTGATGATCCATCCGTAATAACTTTATTTAAGCACGAAGAACTCTAGAACCTTATGATGTACGTCAGGCTGATTTCATCCATTAGTTGGCAACAATCATCACGAAATTTCAGCTTTTGGGATTTTGCCATTGTTTGCAAGTTGAACATGATTACTAGTTATTGTGCTTTAATCGTAGCCTAGAAAAGGGAAGACCCTCATCCAGAAAGTGCTGAGACCAGCACGATGTGGAGGCAAACTTTGCATCGAGAAACTTTGGGGGTGAATGGGCCAAAATGGATCATCATAATGTTTAAGAGACACTCATGATGATAAATGTTTGAGCCCGGTTACCTTCTGTCCCACCTCGCTAGACCACCTCCCTTTCCTTCACCTCCAAGGCGCCCAAACCCTGCAAGGACAAGCGCCTAAAGGGCTTTGGTTCGCCCGTTAGCACTCCAACGCTCAAGTTAGAAGCGAATCTAGAGAGAGAAGTGTAAGTCGGGTTTTAGTGTGAGAAGCCAACCTGCGTAAATGCTACCTACCGAGTACTATTTATACTCGTTGAGGACCCGACCAGGCTCCTGGAATCATGCTCCACGTCAGCGCGTCATTTAATGCTTGGTCGGTCCAACGGTCGGGTATTTCCACGTGGCATCTCCCAGACCTCGGCGCCCAGGCGCCCGGCAGGACCACCTTTCCAGGTGGCGCGTTCTCCTCTTCCTGACTCCTAGGCCACCTGGTCCCCGCATCTACTTTTGTCGTTACGCGCCCCCTCCTTCGCGACTGGGCTTTTCCTCATCTCTTGTTACCCACTCATGCTCCTAGTTGGGTTTGGGGCCCAACTATACCTTCTGGGCTCATGTCCCTCACTGATTTGGTCTATGTGCCTATATCCAACACTTCTTAATTGGGCTTGGGCTCCTATCCTACCTTCTGAGCTCATGTCCCCCACTGACTTGATCCATGAGTCTATACCCAACAATTGTCCCCCAGTTAGGTGCTCATGACTGCTAGTGAGCGCCTAACTATTCTGGTCTCCAAATATTCCTGACCTTCAACATTCATGCGCCTATTCACGCTAAACTTGGGCCCGTCTCATCCATGGCCCATCCCTTCATATTCTACGCGCCCATCCCTTATTCCCTTCTCAGTCATCGAGGCGCCGTTTCATCCACGACCTGTCTCTTCGCCTTCTATGCGCCCATCAGAACCAATTTGGTGCCCGTTATTAAGTTTATTCTTATAACTTTCTCAACATCGAGGCGCCTATGTGACCCGCTTTGTTAAAATATCGGCGCCCCTTCGCCTTCTATGCGCCCATCAGAACCAATTTGGTGCCCGTATTAAGTTTATTCTTATGCCTTTCTCAACATCGAGGCGCCTGTGTGGCCCGCTTTGCTAGAATATCGGCGCCTCCACCTGTCCCCCCGCCGTGCGCTTCCAACATTCAAATTTCGAATTTTTGAATTTTTGGAAATTGAAATTGGGAATTTGAATTTTGAACGGACGGCGTGGATGAAGGGGGATTAATGGCACGCATCCCTATATCTGACCGTTGGGATTCCGCCCCTTATAAATAGGACTCGTCGCCCCCCTCCCCTCCTTCATTCGCTTCATCTCGTTCTCTCTCTTCCTTCTCTCTCTACCCACCGTGCTGTGCGCCTCTTCTTCTCTAGCTACCGAAGGCCGATATGGCTACTCCGAATGACCCGGGCGCCTCATCTACTGATGCGCCCCCCAAAAACCCCTCCGAGCCAGACGTGATTAAGGTTCTGGAGGGGCACTTCTCCCCCGACCCCAACCGACAATCGGGTGGGTGGACCCCCCGCAGTGGCAAGGAGGCGCCCGCCAAGGATCATCCTACGTCCCGGGAGGCGCGGAAAGGCTCTGATGGGCCCGTGGTCGAGGCGGGCGGATCGGCAGCCGTAGTGGAGGGAGGCGGCTCAACCGGCGCAGCGCCTACGAAACCTGGTACAAGTGAGTTTTCTTGACCGAGCAACCCTTTTTTTTTTTTTTTTTTTTTAAGCCTTAGTGGACTAGGTTAGTGTAATTGACCCTGCCCCGTTTGCGTCAACCTTATAGGCCACGCGCCTGGACCATCACCAACGGACGAGTTGGAGGTGTCCCCCCGATCAACTGGCTCAGGCGCCCGCGAGGCTGGGCCAGTGAAGATAAAGAATTGGGAGGATACGTGGCCATCAGGGGAAGCGCCCCTCGAGACTTGTCATATGACTCTTGCTGAGGCAGGGCCATTACACGTGTCTACCATCAGGGCGCTTCAGTTGGAGAATATTGTCGTGTCGATGCAACTCCCGCGCGCCTGGTCTTATGCGCCTGCCCCCCGCTTGGCCCGCATTGGGGTAGTTGGTCCCCGTTGGCTTGGAATGTACCGGGAGTACTTCCGATTTGGCTTGCGGTTTCCTTTAGATTCTATTCTTGAAGGCATCCTCAAACTTAGTCAGTGCTCACTTGGGCGTTTATCCCCTTCCGTTTTTCTCATTCACATTCTTTTCAAGCTAAAATGTCGACAACACAATGTCACGCCCACTTTTAGGCTTTTTCACCACTTTTTCACCATGGTGCATAGCGACAACTGTCTATCGTTGCAAAGGCGCACAGACATTCCCGGGCACTTCTTGATAGATTCTCCAAAGCTAGGCAGGGAGTGGTTCAGGTCTTTTTTCTTCATTAAACCACGCAAGGCTTCTTTTTATGAGAGTGGAGACTCATTTACCCGCGGCTGGGCGCTTGGCGATGTGGAGGCGTTTAACATCGATGCGCCCTTGACTACAGAGGAGGAGATTGAGGGCGCCCGCCTTTTATGTTTACATCCCGTGGACTTAAGTTCCACGGCCGCTAGGACGCCCGTGCTTCATGAGTACTATAATGACGGTGGGCGCCTATCCTTTGTGTAGTTGGGCGCCTATATTCCTAATTTTATCCGCATACTGACCCTGATTGTGTTGTGTGTTTGCGTGCAGGTGCTGACTTTACGTCCGTGACCACGTTAATGAAGAGTCAGTTCGCGAAGTTGGGGCTGGCACCCAAAAGAGCGCCTAGCTCAAGAAAGGGACGGACGAAGGGCGCCCAGGCTTCGAAGGGGGGAGCTGTAGGTGGATCGAAGGCGCAGGCGCGTGACCCCGAGGTGGACAAGGGCCAGGGGCGTGCGGGTAGGAAAGGCAAATCTCCTAAAAGAATTCAGCCCGTTCCAATCCCGAGCCCGCCCCTTGTCGACGAAGTGACCGACTTCACCGACGTGAGGGAGGATCAGGCGCCTGAAGCTACCTTACCTCCAAAACCCATCACGCGCACTGACCTCGCTGAAGATGTGGAGGATGTGGAGGATGAGGTTCCTCTAATAACGAAGATGAAGAGGAAGGCAGAGGGCGCCCAGGGTGAGTTGGCAAAGAAGGCGCGGATGGACGAGGATGTGCCAATTCCTGAGTCTGTGGCGAAATGGCTCCAACCACCAAAACACAAGGTAACTTTGGAATGTTCAAATAGGTCTGCTTTGGAGCATGGCGCTGCCATTCAAATGGCTCTGAAGGCGGGTGAAGTGCTCCGGGCGCCTAGTGACCTGGACGGTGGCGATCCATGGGGTGAGATGTGTCGAATGAGCGCCCAGGTAAGTACTTCCTTTACTTACCTCCATGTGTATTTTACATACTCATTTAGTGTTTCTTCGACTTAACTCAGTGTGTATTTTTGTAGATGATGCTTGTGGCCAAGAGAGGCATATTGGAGCGAGAGGCTCTACGCGCCTCTTCCAACGAGGCCGCAATATCCGTTGGCGTGGCCAAGGATGACCTTGCAACAGCTCAAAGGCGCCAAGCGGAGCTAGTAAAGATGTGCGAAGATGCGCAGCTCGAAGCGGCTAAGAGCGCCTCTCTCGTTCAAGAGTTGGTTGATGCTGAAAAGAGGAAGTTGGAAGAGGAATGCGAAGCTCGGATTGAGGTCGAGAGGAAGGCGCATGGTGAATTGGTGGCGAAGTTGGAGCAGGAGAAGAAGGAGTTGGAGAATGAAGGAGGCGCCTATAGAAGCGAAATTGATCTCCTAAAACAAGAGAAGAATGACTTGGCGAGGGAGAATAAGCGCCTGTCGAGGGAGAATAAGAAATCGGCGTCGGCAATAAAGAGACTTGAGGAGGAAAAGCAGGCGCTTGCCTCCGAAAAAGAAGCGCTTGAGTCTCAGCCTGCGGAGTTTGCCAAGTCTCAAGCGGGCCAAGC